TAAGAAGAAAGGTCACATAAAGAAGGACTGTAGAAAGTTTAAAGCTTGGTTGTCCAAACGTGAGCCTACAGGTAATGATTTTTTGACACTTGTTTGTGAATCCAACCTATCAGAAGCACCATCTAGTTCTTGGTGGCTCGATAGCGGTGCAACTAATCATGTTGCGTTTACCATACAGGGATTCATAAATCGGAGGAAGCCAAATCAAGATGAGTCAAGACTCACTGTGGGAAACAACGAGAAAGCCGATGTTGTGTTTGTGGGAGATGTTATATTGATTCTAGACTCTGGTTTTAGATTAATGTTGAAGGACACTTTTTTTGTACCTTCTTTTAGACGGAACTTAATTTCTGTATCGTGTTTGGACATGTATGGCTACTCTTTTGAAATCAAGAACAATGTTATTTCTTTGTTTCTTAATTCAAATAAGGTTGGATGCTGTTATATGTCTAACGAATTGAACAGATTGTGTTTGTCTCCCAATAACATATACGTCGCTTATACGGCTGAAAAGGTTGTTTCTAAGAGACCACTACCTAAGGAACAGTCTTATGCATTGTGGCATAAATGGCTTGGTCATATCTCTAAGGATAGAGTAGAAAGGCTGATAAAGACTAACATCCTACCTGCTCTTAAAGATGACTTAGAGACATGCGTAGACTGTTGTAGAGGTAAAATGACCAAGATAAGAAAGAAAACTGCAGTCCGAAGTTCGACTTGTTGGAGGTCATTCACACTGATATAAGTGGACCCTATACGATAACCTTGTGTAGAAATTTTTATTTCATTATATTTATTTATGACTATTCTCGATATGGCTATCTGTACTTGATTAAAGAAAAGTCTGAGTCTCTTGACAAGTTCAAGATTTTTCGGACTGAAGTCGAGAAACAGTTGGGAAAGGTCATAAAGGTTGTTAGATCTGACCGAGATGGAGAGTATTATGGCAATCATGGCGATTCCGGATAGCTTAAGGGGCCATTTGCCAAATACTTAGAGGATTCTGGGATAGTGGCTCAGTTCACTATGCCTGGAAGTCCTGAGCAAAATGGTGTAGCCGAAAGGCGCAATCGCACCCTTATGGAAATGGTGAGTTTGATTAGTAGGACAAATTTACCTGGTTTTCTGTGGGGTGAAGCTTTGAAAACAGCTTTGTACATCCTGAATCGTGTACCTACTAAAGCTGTTCCATTGACTCCTTTTGAGTTATGGACTGGATGTAAGCCTAGCTTAAACCATCTTAAGATTTGAGATGTCCTGCAGAAGTGAAGTTATATAATTCAACATTAAGTAAGTTGGACCCCAGAACCACTCGGTGTTACTTTGTATCTTACCTGGATCATTCGAAGGGATATCGGTTCTATAATCCCAATGGAGGCACAGGAATTGTGGAATCACAGATAGCCAAGTTTATGGAGTTTGATGTGGCCGAAGAAAGTAGCTGCTCACAGACTATTGAGGATAATAGTACGGTGGGTAATGTTGTATCTTTATCTCCTCCCATACAGATAATTGTGGAGATTCCTACACCACAGACTGAACCTGTTGAGGCTCAAGATCCTGTTGTCGAGACAGTTCCTAATGAAGTTCCTCAAGGCTCTCAGGTGCAGGATGAGGCTGTTGCTGCTGCAGTAAGGAGATCCATTACGGAGAGACGATCAGCTATACCATCGGACTATTTAGTCTATATAGGAGAGCAAGACTACGATATCGGTTCTGTGACTGATCCAATGACTTATGCGAAAGCTGTTTCTTGTCCTCAATCGGAACTGTGGTTGGATGCAATGAGAGATGAAATGCAGTCTATGAAGCATAATGGAGTTTGTGAACTTGTTGAATTACCTGAAGGCCATAGACCCATGGGCTACAAATGGGTGTATAAGACTAAAAGGGACTCCAAAGGAAAGATTGAGAAGTTTAAAGCCAGACTGGTAGTTAAGATTTCACTCAGAGAGAAGGTGTAGACTATGAAGCAACTTTTTCTCCAGTCTCTTCTAAAGATTCTTTCGGAGTAATCATGGCATTGGTAGCTCATTTCGATATGGAGTTACACCAGATGGATGTTAAAACTGTCTTTCTTAATGGAGACCTTAATGAAGAAGTCTATATGATGTAACCCGAAGGCTTTGCGGCAGATGATTCAGGTATGCTTGTATGTAGACTAAAAAAGTCTATTTATGATCTCAAGCAAGCTTCTAAATAATGGTACTTGAAGTTTCATAGTGTTGTCGCTTCATTTGGTTTTGTTGAGAACAAAGTAGATCAGTGTATATACTGCAAGGTCAGTGGGAGGAAATTCATTTTCCTTATACTCTATGTGGATGATATCCTGCTTGCGAGTAGTGACCTTGGTTTACTGCATGAGACAAAGCGGATGTTGTCAAAGTACTTTGATATGAAAGACCTTGGTGAGGCGTCTTTTGGCCTTGGCATTGAGATTTTCTCGCCGACTATTGGGTTTATCTCAGGGGGCATATGTTGATCGTATCTTAGAAAGATTCAACATGTAGCAATGCAAGCCAGGAATTGCTCCTGTCAGTAAGGGTGATAAGTTGAGTCTGTCACAATGTCCTCATTCAGATTTTGAGAAAGCCCAAATGAAGAATGTACCTTATGCTAGTGCACTTGGGAGTATTATGTATGCTCAAGTATGTACTAGACCAGATATTGCTTTTGCAACAGGACTTCTAGGCAGATATCAGTCAAATCCAGGACACGATCATTGGATTGCTGCCAAGAAGGTTTTGAAGTACTTAAAGAGGACAAAAGACTATATGCTAATTTACAAACATGTTCAGGACATACAGCTGGTTGGGTATTCGGATTCAGACTTTGCTGGCTATCAGGATGAAAAGAAGTCGACAATAGGTTACATCTTTAAGTTGGCAGGAGGTGCAGTATCATGGAAAAGTGAGAAACAGAAATCAATGACATCCTCTACCATGCAAGCGGAGTTTGTAGCATGCTTTTCGGCCACAACTCAGGCAATTTGGCTACGGAACCTCATTAAGGAGTTGATTGTATTTGATTTTGTGGATAGGCCCATACAGTTGTATTGCGATAACAACTCTGCAGTGTTGTTTGTTAACAACAACAGAGGTCTCAAGGGGTCTAAGCATATGGAGGTCAAGTACCTGACTATAAAGGAAAAAGTTCAGGATTGTGACATTGCAGTAGAGCACGTTTCAACAGATGATATAATTGCAGATTCGCTAACTAAAGGCCTTCGCCCTTGTGTATTTGATCGACATGTCATGAACATGGGCTTAGGAATATCATGGGATACTATTAATTAGTGGAAGCTGTTTAGTTTTATGTTGCTCTTATGAAGTTTGTATCTGATTTTGTTACATTTTGTAATATTTGAATATGTATCAACTCTTTTGCATTCAATGAGGTATTTGTGAATGTAAATTTATCAAGTTGAGTATACATATTTGATGAAAATCTCGAGGCATTATGTAAACCTTGAGTACAGGCTATGGGGTATTCTTGATATTAGCCTTAACGATATGTCTTGTTACACATAAAGTACAGTTAACTATCAAGGTAAGACATATGAAGGTTCGTTGAAACCATGAAAGATATTCTCTTGTGACACACTAGGTTTTGTGACACTTAAGGAGAGAGAATTTAGACTAACAAAATGGACAACACATGAAGTATCACTCATTATGAGGTATTGTCCATTTGACACACTACCATATTGAATCCATATCAGTAAAGTTGAAAGCACTCGTGACCATGAAAGGCTCTACGTGAGTACATGCAGTTGCTGTCATGATTCGGTGTTCGAGACTTTATGGGATCGGATTGACTATTAAGAATAATCTCTAGACCAATATAAGGGTGCGCACACAGTTTTGTTTCAATTAATATCGCCCAAGTGGGAGAATGTAAGAATTTCCTAATGTGGGCTTCATTAATTGAAATTAACTGAATTAGTTTAGTCTAATAAAGGTAAGATATATGGGTTCTTAATAAGTCTAATATGGGGTTGGCTGGTGTGGGCCGAGTACAGCCCGGTTCGTAATGGAAGGGCCCGTGGTCGAAAACTCTATAAATAGCGCTCAAGTCCCTCCCCTAATCTGATGATGCACAATTTGACTCACATACAGATCTAGAGAGAACTTTCTTCTCGTGAGTGGCAATCTCATTAGGCCAGTGTTCTAACGAAGGGTATAGGGGAAAAGAACTTGAGTTCGTGTTCGGAAACCATCGCAAATTCCACATCAAGTTCTATGGATTCCAAACCAGGTACGCGAATCGATAATCTTTCCATTAACGTATTTCGGTTTCTGATTATGGTGATCCTGGGTGTGCCATTTTCGTGGCCAACATGAGCTTGAGCATCCATGGCCGCGGTCGTCGCAACTCGGGCCGCCAGCTCAACAGATGGCAGCCATGGTTGAACGGTTGTGCTCAAGCTCGTGCTCTAGGCTGGAGCCCGAGCTTTGCGGCTATGGCGACGGCGAGACTCCGGATTGAGTATCCTTGGCCATAAGTCTCTAGATCTAGCGGCTATCGACGGGATTCGAAACTCGAGCCATGGCCGCGAGCTTGAAGCTTGAACATGCTCACAACCGCGAGCTCGAGCTATGTGGCAATGGAGGCCGAGATGTTGGGCTCAAGCTCAAGCTCCATGGCCATGGTGGCAGCAAAAAAGAGAGAAGAAAAGCAAGTGCAGAAGAGAGGCGAGGAGGAAGAGCAAGTGCAGAAGAGAGAGGGTTTTTTCTGGCAGGTGGGCCCTCAAGAGATACGTGGCGCACGAAGAATGGACTTGTTTTTTGCTGAGCTGGGATCCCTGGGTACCCAATATTTTCTCCGTCTGATTGGCCCTTATGGTCTCCCAAGGACTCTTTTGAAAAATTTCTGAACTTGTTAAAAAGTCTTGGACACCTTCACGGTGTCTACTTGCTAACGCAGAGCGTTAGGTGGGAAAATATACAATTAAATTTTGTTTCAAAGTGAGCCGGCCAAGTATTTTAGGCCTGGAAGTCCCTTGCCTCGTTCATATCCAAAACCTCAGCTCATTTCTTAGCGATGCCACACAACACCAACCTTTTTTCTCTTTAGATGAGAGAGAGATCTGGAAGTAATAAGCTTCCTAGCTATGGCAAACTCAGAGGTCGGAACGAGTAGTGATGTTGCACGATCATCAGGAGGTGAGTACCAAGTGTTCCTAAGCTTTAGAGGGCCCGATATTCGTCATGGATTCACAGACTTTCTTTATCACGGCTTAAAAGACGTCGGATTCTGCATATTTAGGGATGATGAGGAACTTCGTGTCGGTGATGTGATTGGTGGGAGCCTTATACATGCTATCAACATCTCCATAATCTACATACCAATCTTCTCAGGGACTTATGCTGTCAGCAAATGGTGCCTCCGTGAGCTTGCGCACATAGTAGACAACATGTCTAAGTCAGAGGGTCAAAAAAGCATCCTTCCCATTTTTTTCCACATGGAACCTGACGATGTTAAACTTAACACTTCACTATATAGCGATGCTTTACTAGAACACGCGAAGAAGTTTCCTGACGAAGTCGAGGCGTGGAGAGAAGCTCTTGTTGAGGTAGGTAAAATCAAGGGATGGAATGTGAAAAAGGACCAAAGGTAATACTCTTTTAAGAGCCCTCTCTATTTCTTTTAGTTTGCCTAAGACAACAATGAGTCTAATTGCTGCTCTCATCAACTTCTCGTCCTCTTCTTTTAACATCTTCCCTAAGAATTTCCCCTACGATGTGGATAACTTCAATTTGATCTGGATCCTCATGTATCAAAATATCTAGTTTGTATCTTCAGAAAAAAAATATATTAACCCAAAATATGCATGTGGCATCCCCAAGAAACACCAATTACATAAGGAAACTACGATTGGATGAAGAAAAATCGTGTCTAAATATTCAATAGAAGTGAGAGCATCTTAAAAACATCTAAAGAATGATGGACCATCATCTCAGGGCCTTGAGTTTTGTAGAGATTGCAGGAAGTCCAAATCGAGGCTGGACAACCTCGATCTGGACCGGGTCGGAGGCGACGACCATTGCTCAGCGATGGCACGGAGGCCTCCGAGTGGTGTGGCCGTGCGCACAGAGGGTTGAGAGAGAGAGAGAGAGAGAGAGAGAGAGAGAGAGAGAGAGAGAGAGAGAGAGAGAGAGAGAGAGAGAGAGAGAGAGAGAGAGAGAAGGACGCATGGTGTAGAGGGTGCGAGAACTAATTATTACCCATTGGATTAATAAGTTATGGCGACAGATGCAATTTGAAGAAAAAAGTGAAAATTAGGAATTTAATTTGCAGAGAAGCAAGTTCATGTGCGTGGAAAATGGCTTTTGCAATATGTCCTTATTTTCCTTTTCACCTTTCTTCAGGGATGTCTCAAACAAATTAAAAAGCCTTGTTCTAGTAATCAGTAATCACCCGTCTAATTTAATCCAAAGCAATATAGGTGGAAATGAATAGTGAGCCACATGGCTCGAGCATGAGCTATGGATGAGTTGGGGGGCAACCTGGCAGTGACGTTGCCTGCATGGTATTTGTATTTTTTGTTTTGGGGGTTATCGCATGGCGTTTACTTTGACAACTTAATATGCTTATCATCATTCATCAACAAAAAACCCATAATTTTGGCTGTCAATAGATAAATTTAAATCAAACATATGGTGAATTAACACCTAGTGTCCATTACTATAGCATGTGGGAGTCCATTAGCTTCTCCAATGTAAATGAGCTGCTTTTGCACAATTTTTTAAAGTTGGCAATCTCCTATGCTTTTCGGTTATGTAGATAATGTGACCAACATGCCTCCTATACTATAAAATGGTTCTTACACTTAATATGCCATCCATTTTTACAGGGGGCACAAAATTTGAAAGTTCTATCTCTTACTTGGTGTTATGGTATAACGAGAATCCCAGACCTGTCTAAATGCTTGGGTTTAGAGAGGTTGACTCTTGCACGCTACTATGGGCTAGAGAAAATTGGAAGTTTCATTGGATATTTACGGTCGTTAATTGAGTTAAAGATTGAAAACTGCAATATTCTTACATATTTGCCAGAAGAAGTGGGGGCACTAGTGAAGCTTAAGTGCTTCTCATTGGGGGGTTGTCCTAGGTTGAGAGAACTTCCAAACTCACTCGGGAATTTAACCTCATTGTTAGAGTTAGACTTATCACATACGGGCATTCCCAAACTTCCAAACTCCATTGAAAAGTTAAAATCATTACGCATATTGCGTTTATGAAAATCATTACGCATATTGCGTTTATCAAAAGATGGATCACCTTCTTGGGAGCATCATGTTTGGCAGTTACCTAGTGGCATTAGCATGTTGGAAAATCTTGAAGAGCTGAATCTTTCTGAGCATGATGAAATGGAAGGTGAAATTCCCATAGGAATTGGAGAACTATCATCTTTAAGAATCTTAAATTTACAGTGCACTCGTATTTGCAGAATTCAAAGGACAATCAACATGCTTCATCACCTCCAAACACTAAATTTAAGAGATTGTCATGTAATTGAAGTGCTGCCGGAATTTCCCACAAGTTTGACCAGTCTACTTCTTGAATCTAATTCATTGCTCTCAGTCCCTAATTTGTCGAACCTTACTAATTTGGTTGAACTACTACTAAGTGATGGCTCTCGTAATACAGGCAAATCAAACCTAATCACAGGATGCAACTTATGGTGGATAGGGAGGTTATCTAGGTTGAAAAGGTTAGATTTAAATCTGCTAAATTTCCCTACACCTTCAGAGTTGGCTTCTCTTTCTGATCTAGAAGAGCTTACTTTGTCTCATCTAGCCCTAGAAACCCTCGAGAAGCTTCCCTCCTCTCTGCTGAGATTGATTGTTAAATTCTTTAGAATCAGGCGGGCAGAGTTACTTCCCTCCTGCTTGATATTGAGCAATTTATCGACTTTAGAGTTTTGCTCTGGTGAAGTGGAAGACATTCCACTCGATGGACTTCCACTGCTGGAGAACTTAACTGTTCACGATTGTAAACTGCTTCAGAGATTATCCATTCCTTTGGAATTAAGGAAGTTACGGCAAGCGTGTGTGGCATGTTGTCCAGAGCTAGTTATGATAGAAGTTGGGGGTCTTTTGAAATCAATGGAATCCTTCTCCATTTTACGGTGTGTATCTCTGAGAAGAGTTGGTGGCCTAAACGAGCTAGAGTCCCTAAAATACTTGACGGTCAGAGAGTGCACATCATTGGAAAGTTTGTTTGATGCATCCTGCACAAATATAGCAGATGATTGCCACGTTGATATACAGGTGTGTGGAGACTTTATCAAAGATTTTGCTGCAAGCTACCAACATGAAATCTATTCGAAGCGTTACGGAGAGATGAATTTTCTGGATACATCAAATAAGGTACGACATCTTCTCCATCAAAAATTGATTTGTGATACACATTTGGATACATGCGTGAGTGCACGGGTTTGAAAATTGATTTGTTCTCATTCCAATTTGATGCTATAATTCGGTCAAACTACATAAATTGTAAAAAGTTAAATATCATTTGAAATTTACACGGATGAAATTATATTTTTTTTAAATCAAATGATGATAATCTATCGGATATGATCTTTAAATAATCTCAAATGCAATATATTTTCTAATCAAACGAAAAAAATCTATTAGAGATGGTCTTTATTTAATTTTAGATACATTAGTGTTCCTTCAACATGTTCTTTTCAATTTGAAATGTTATTTTGTATAAATTCAAATACACAATTAAAATTACAATAAATTTAAATTTAAATTACTTCTTGTTATATACTTTAGTGTTGGATATTATGTAGTATGATTTTTGTTTATTTTGATGTCATAATGTCTAGCAATAATTGCCCTCTTGAGCTTTGGCACTGTTGCACACTTGTGAAAAGTTGTAGATTACCTCCTCACAATCGCCCCACCCAAAAATACTTTGATTTATGTTGCATTTATTAATTTTTCAGTCTACATAGCCGTTAAATTACCTAAAATGGACTAACTCATTTTTTTGACCAAATTTTCGTATCTAATTTTATAAACCATGCATCATTCTCCATTTTGTTAACTTCATAAAACAATGTAGCAGATATTATTTTGTTCAAGATGAGTTAGTCCATTTCCAACTAACGTCTAATGGCCATACAAGCGGAAAAAGTAATGGTTGAATAAAAAATGAAGTTTGGGGAGTAATTTATAACATTGCAAAGTTTGCACGCTAGATATTTTCAAGGTGCGAAGCTATCGTGCATGAGAGCAATTACCCTTAATGTTTAATATGAGAATGACCATAGAAGTTAATAGATCAGATATTAATTAGATTAAAGAAGGAATTTTTATGATTTGGAACTTCCATCAAATATCTTTACCCCTTACTATCTTCGGTTAAAGCATTATGTTAAATGAACAAGAGTGGAACATGTATAGGTACTCTCGTGCTAAAAAAAAGGAATGAAATTTAAAAGTAAGTCTTATGTATTAGAGAAAGCTTTGCTTCCGTTTTTTGGCCAAATATCCTCCTTTCTTTAAACACACACTATCCGCCCTTCTAAAGTTGCCATCTTTTTTGTTGCACCGTAATTTCTTATGTGGCTAATTTTTTTCCTTTTACATTGGTCACTAATCACACAATAGCCGTACAAAGGGAATAAAAATAACTCATTGGGTTCCACCACGTGTCGCCACATGGGAAAATGAATGATGAACAAGAGGCAGCTAATTCGTGGTATATATGTTTGATAATAGGACAATCCAGTTCCTATGAATTGTTTGTCGGCCTCTAGTGTAAAAATAATTAGAATGATTGTTTTTTCCTCTCTCTTTAATAATTCTGTTAAATTGTGTACACGATTTAATTCAGTGCTAATTTATCCACTTGTAGAGTAAGCAATAACTATTTTACACATTTATTTGCTATTTCGCCGGTGTATGCATATGGGCTTGACTAGTTTTCTATTTTTGGCCACTAGTGGGCGTGACTAGTTGACTATGCCCTTTTGTACTATAGCAGATTGCCACCAAGCGGGATTTGCGTGTTTTCATAGCACATGATTATTTCAAAGTAAACTAAAGCAAATATTGCTTGAAAGAATAGCTAGATAGTATGCTAGATGTAACTTTTATACCAATGAAGATATTATTTCACTAAAAAGTGCAACTTATGACGAAAAGAGACACTAATTAATGTTGAAGCATATTACTTTAGATTAAGAAAGAACACAATAACATACAGACTTTCATAAACTGATTTGAAACAATGTGTCACATAATTATGGATTTTTATTTCAAAAAGTAGAAAATAAAACTCTTTTTTAGTTCCAAAATGCAAAATAATTGAATTTATATTAGTGTTGTAATTGAAAAAAATAATTAACATTAAAAGATAACAGTACATGAAGTATGATAAAATTATGCAAAAAGAATAAAGAAAATTTCAAATAAGGGCTTGAAGTGCTCTCATTTTTTCAAATAAGGGCCTGAAGTGGATCTTGTGTCAAATAATGACCGAAAGTGGCCATGTCAGTCTCAAATAAAGGTTTAAAGTGATTATAACAGTTTCAAATAAGGGCCTGACCTCACTGACCGCCGGCCGGCTAAATATTCCAACCGATCAAGGGTATTTTCGTCCAAAGACAAATTTAATTTTAAATTATTTTTTCTTTTCTTTTTTTCCTTTTTCTTGTTTTTTTCTTCTTTTTCGTCGGTGGTTGGTCGACGGCCATCGGCGATGCCCAGAGAGGGCTGGCAAGGCCCACCCTTGCTGGCCACACAGGCGAGGGACGGCCTCGCCGGCCATAGGCGAGGTTGGCCCTCGCCAATTCTGGGCGAGGGTCGACTCCCGAGGCAAAATTAAAGAAAAAACCAGAAAAAGTAAAAAAGAAAAGAAAGACAACAAGGAAACAAAAGGAAAAAAAATTCAAAAAGGTGAAGGACGAAAATGCCTATGGCCATCTAGAAAGTCATACCCTTCTTTGAAATTGAAAAAGCCACTTCTGGCCCTTATTTGAAATAAGATCCATTTCAAATTCTTATTTGAAAAAATGAGGGCACTTCAAACCCTTATTTGAAATAAGGTCCACTTCATGCCCTTATTTGAGAAAATGAATGCACCTCAAGCCCTTATTTGGAATTTTCCAAAAGAATATATTAATGTAATTATAGTGAAAATAGATGAAAAATTAAAGTTCACGAAAATAGTAACATAAAAAATAGGAAGAGAAAGGGAATTGGATATGGAATTAGAATACCAAGACTCAGAATTGTTTTTTTTGGTGGCTTTACTTGGTATGATGCGGAGTAATTAGTGCAAATGATGATAAATTCAAAGAAATAAAATTAGTAAATCAATCTACTAGTTAAACCATCTAGGTTGTGATGGAACAAAGCATAAACCTTTATTCGCATCTATCCACCCCACAATACATACATATAATATAGGGGTGTTTCCAACGATTTTTTTAATTATCTGAATAATCCCTCTCCATGGGACAATAAAATAGCTTTTTCTCTATTACTCAATATATCTCTCTTAGCTAACCGCCATGACCCGAAGTTTTCATTGCCCTAAGTGCTGTAAATGCTTAATTTTAATGGATTGCCCCTGTACTGCGAGGGATGAGAGTGTGGCTCCGCCTCGAGTGGCGAAGGGGATATGAATGAACCGAATTCCACATCGCCTGGGGAAGGTGAAGTGATGTGCTTTATGAGGTGTAGCACAAGTCTTAACTACCAACGAGGCCCTTTGGTAGTAGCTTCCGCTATGCCAGAGACAAAACCTTTCGAGGGATGGCAGTGCAGCTACACCTCAAAGAAAACAATATTGGGTCAAGCTGAGGGATGGTAGTGCGGCTACGCCTCTATCCTGAACGAGGCCTTTTCTGGGCGAAGCCCAGAGAAACAAAATCGTGAGGGCTGCGGTCCAAAGCGAATAATATCGTTGTCAGATGGGGCTAGAGGTCGGCCCTTACAATTATCCTTGCGCCATTCCTTGGTAACCTGATAAATTAACTCCGAAACAAACTCAGGATCATCCTCCTCAACGGGTCCATACAAAAGACCATCCTGAAGCCAAGCTTTGATACGATTTTGCTCCCATTCCCGATCATCCACCTAACAAAGGGAGATATGAAATCTCTGCCGGTAGTAGACTTTGCCATTCTCAAGATGCCCGATGCCCTTCTTGGTGCGGGCAAAAAGTCTGTACGAGGGACATAGATTCCTTTTAAAATCTTGCTGCGACCTTCAAATCAGAATTGAATGCAAGAGCGAAATGTTTACTTGCTCGTCAAGTCTTTGTGCCATGTGGGAAATGCGAGCAATTTAGGAAATAATAAATTGCACGGCAACGCTTTTCCAATTTCTATTGATAATCTTGTTTGTTTGCTTGCTGCGTTTGTTTAATTCCTTTTTACGGTTTAGAATTAATGTACTTGTCGATGAATATGAATATATCCTAGTGTACGATATGTGGGTGCAGCCTCCGGTGACGACGTTGGTTCTGAGGTTCAGTGGCAGTGGCCTCCACTGCAAGCGATGTATCCAGAAGATTCGCAAGATAATCACAAAAACAGAAGGTTATCTAATTTATTCTTCATTGGTGTGATTATTCCCAGTTTCTCCTTTCTTTTTTCTCGCTGAAGGTCGTTATGTTGTGCGGACGCTCCTGATGGTACTTGTGTTAAAACTTTTGGAACTGCGACTGTGCAGGGCTTCTCAACGTGGCCATCAACAGGTACTTGGATACGGCCACGGTAAAGGGGGTGGTCATGGACGCCAAGGCACTGGCCGAGAACTTGAGGGACAAGATGAAGAGGGAGGTGAAATCGTTCTGCCGAAGAAAGAGAAAAAGGGCGGCGAGGCCACGGACAAGGAAGGTGGCGGGAAGAACAAGAAGGGCGGTGACTACCACAAGGCGGCAGAGATCACCGGCGGATGGGGGAAAGCGGAAAGCCAGAGGATGGAGTTTCAACGGGCATGCGGCTATGGTCATTGTGCGTATGGGGAGCGAACGCGCTCCTATGCACCCATCCCATATGCTTATTACCAGTATGACAGCCAATTTTTGAGTGACGAGAACCCAAATGCTTGCTCTGTCATGTGAGGTAAGCAAAAGAATTAGCGTAAATAAGAAGAGAGGATGCCGTAGACAGTAAAACATTGATGAGTTAAGGGGTCTTTTGAGGAGGTGAAGATGCGCCTGATCAATGTCACGTTGGTCATATGACCAAACTGTTGCCACTTCCTTTTCCTTCTTTGTTTTGTTTGTTCGTTTCTTTTTGCCTCTTTCCTTGTATTGGCTGAGAAATTGCATTAGCAGGCAAACTACCCTTAGATCAGCTTGTTGGTCCCGGCTGGACCTGAGCAATGAGCAGTTATGGACTCTTCTCCCTCCCTCCTCCCCTTCCCCCCTCACATGTCTCATCAGCTTTCGCAGCAACCTTTACTGCCTTGAGATTCCAAAGCTCTTGTTTTTCCCTTCATTAATTTCTCGTGTCTCATAAATTTTTTTTCCCTCTTTTTATTTTGAAATCATTTTCTTAATATTCCTTTATTCTAGCTTGATGGTTCATCTTCCTCTGCAAATTCGAACCTCCAACAGCTGAAGGGCCTCTCTCTTCTCCTATATTTTTTCTCCTCCCTATCATTCTTTATAGGCGTCTTTCCTGGTTCCTCATAAATCTTCCTTTATTATGGAACATGTTTTTTTTTGGACGGATGCCAATCCTATCTTGCCCCCTGGTTCTCTCCTCTTTCGGTTGATGATTCTGATTTCTCAAATTAAAAAAATATTTAAAAAAATCAAGACTTTATCCCACTTCTTTGATTCCTCTTCGGCTCTATTTCTCTTGCAAATTCCACACCTTTCCTTCGTTATATTTAGAAAACTCCTCAAAGCCCTGTCTTTGTACTGAATTTGGTTTTGAGTTCTTGAACCTCGTGATTCACATGCCAAACCCTTCAATTCCCAACAGACTAGCTTTTTTTTTTTTTCAAGAAATCTATCTTTTTGCTCATCACCCTCTTCTTGATGTTTGAGATCCATCTCTCCAATTCTCAGTGAGATCCTTCTCCGTGGGTATATTCCTCTTCATTCAGGCGCAGGACCCACCCGGTTCAATCCTTCTCAGTTGTCTCCCTCCAAAGGCTCTATTGTGTCTCATGCTTCAAGCCTCAATTCCTGCTAATATATGTATGAGCCCTCCAATCTGAAAAAATCTGGACATATATCATCTGGGTCTTGCTTTAATTTCATATTCTCCTCAATTAATTGCTCTGAAAATGAGAGAACTTTCTGCACTGAGCACAAGAATTTCACAGTGGCATCTCCCACTAGGACATCTTCAGGGTCATCCCTGGTACGGGACTAGGCCTCCGAGGAAGACTTGCGGGTTGTGATGGACCAAAGGACGAGGAAGTAGATGATCTCGAACTGCAAGTCCGCACGGCGGTCCGGATGAGGAAGCATAAGCACCTGGACGATCTGACGGCTCAGGTCGCTCAGCTGAACAAGGAGAAACGCCAGATCAGGACCAAAATCAACATCACCACACAGCATTACTTGGGCATCCGGGCGGCAAACGCGGTGCTGAGAACACAGGTTGGAGTCACTGCAATTTCTTGAATGTCAGCAATGGAGTCTTTGGATTCGGTGTTGCCCACAACGGCCCTATTGAGCCAGTTGATGAGTCCTTGAGCTTGAACCCATTTAGTCTTGGCCTTAGCAATCAAGCCATTATGGCTTCTTCAGAGATGTTTCAGAGTGCTGATATTATCTTCTTTCATCATTTTTTGGCCTAAAAAAATGGGAGGAAGACAAGATTTGTGCAGGAAATGAGTGGATTTTTGGGGGGTTATTTTGGTTTTGCGCGATGAAGTATGTTTTAGTATATGGATATAGCTGAACGCCCTCGTAATGGAAGTGGTACTCTCAGCTATATGATGATTATGTCTCCACTGTGTTTATCATACATAAGCAAGTTTCTGATCCATGGAATGAAATTAGAGGTAAACAATTTATAATGATAAAACTACTATACTAAAATGTTTCCTGGGATACATTTGTGGAATACCACTCTGGGCCACCTTCTTCAAGCAACTTTCCCGTTACATTCGATTGCTCAAATGACCGTGCGATTTGCATGCCAAGAGGCCGATGAAAGGGAATCTCAGCGCCCATTTGAGAAGGTTCTTGCCATGTCTCAATATCCGGTACGAGTGGCAAATGAGTGGATTGAGTTAGGTTTGAGTGGGTCATAAATGGATATGACCCAAATCCACCCGTTAACTCGTGTTGACTTATTTATTTGCTAAACAATTTACTAACTCATACCGACCCCAATCCAAATCCAACCCAAGCCCATCCACGTAATCACTCCGAAAAACAAAGAAAAATGTCCAACAGATCTAAAAATATAAATAGTTGAAAAATAAAATAATTTTGCAAAGTTAAATGAAAATTGTTTCTTGTCCGTAAAAACTGATATTCACAAAAAACATTAAATAAATGGCAAATGTTATGGACCGCCATTCCCGGTGGCTCGGAACGCGAAATCTCGCCGGCGTTCCGTTCGTCACGGATGATTGTGCTGATTGCTCTGTTGTCGTCTTCCACGTTGATCACCCCCTTTTAACTCTAATTCTCCAATCATGCGATTTTTCAATGTTCCTGACATTTCTTCTTCTTCTTCTTCTTCTTCTTCTATCAAACTCATCAGGTTTTATACGGACGTTTATGCTCGCTCAATTTATTGGCTTCGCACTAACCAGACACTTAGTTACGGTAATTCCGTAGGCGGCTGACCTTTTCCTTAGATGAGTCACTTATCTCCACTTCGTTTTTCGGAGTAGGATATTTGCGGTTCATAAAGCAGCCTTTCCTCCCTCTTTTTAGTTCCCATTTCCTGTTGTACTTATGTTACTAGTCGCATATTCTTTCTTTTTACTCACTTATCTCAACTTGCCTTTTATGCTGTATAGTTTTTGTTCTTTAATTTTGCCAGTATACTCATTTAATTTCTCTTTAAATATTAGATAGTAGATTACAAATTAGGATTCAAAAACAAGATATGATGTCTGCGTCCACTATTTTTTTTATTATTTTGCAATAGGCATAATCGATGCACAAATTTAATATCACACATATAGCAATAGTAGTTATGCATTATTTGATTCGATTATTGCATCAATGAGCTAGGGAGAAATTAATGTCAAATGATTTGATCATGACCGTACTAAAGTGAAAGAAAGAAGAAGAAGAACTCATTAGGTTCTGCCACGTGTCGCCACATGGGAAAATGAATGATGAACGAGGGACAACTAATTCACGGTATATATGTTTGATATTATGATGATTCATCTCTTATGAATTTGTTGTTGGCCTCTCGAGTAAAAATAATTAGAACATTTGTTTTGCCTCTTTCTTTAATAATTCCATTAGAATGTTTGTGCAATTTAATTCAGAGCCAATTTATCCACCTATAGATTAAGCATTACCTGTGTTACATATTTATTTGTTGTTGGATCGGTACATGCATATATAGTGGGCTCGACTAGCTTTCTATTTTTGGCCATCAGTGGGCTTGAGCAATTGACTATGCATTTTTTAGAGTACATGATTATTCAAAGTAAATTAAAGCTTTGACCCAAAAAAGAAGTAAATTAAATCACATATTGCTTGAACAAATAGTCATATATTATCTCAGGATGTCACTCTTATCTGAAAGAACAAATTATTTCACTAAAAAGTGCAACTTATGAATAAAAGGGACACTAATCAATTTTGAACGATATTACTTTAGGTTTAGAAAGGATACAACAACATGCAGACTTCCATAAACTGAATTGAATCATGGTGTCACATGGTTATGGAGCTTTCATTCGAAAAGTAGAAAATGAAACTCCTTTTTTTTTTAATTCCAAAATGCAAAACAATTGAATTTGTATTTGTATTATAATTGAAATAAATACTTAACACTAAAAGATGGCAGCACATGAAATACGATAAATTATCCAAAAAGAATAGATTAATGTAATTAAAGTGATGATAAGATGAAGAATTAAAGTTCACTAAAATAATAACTTAAAAAAATAGAAAGAGAAATGGAATAGGATATGGAATTAGAATAGCCCTTATTTGAGAGGGTTAATACCACAAAAATCCAAAATTGGTACACTTGTGACAAATTTATCCCAAACTAATTTTTTGATCACAAAAAACCCCAAAACGGTATACCTATGACAAATATACCAAAAACTAATTTTTTTACCACCAAAAACCCCAAACTGATACATTTATGACAAATATACCCAAAATTAATTTTTTGACCACCAAAAATCCCAAATTGATACATTTGTGACAAATTTATCATCTGTTGGTTTCCGTTAAATTGGATTAATAACACAAAAAATTATAAACTAGTACATTTGTGATAAACAGAGGGTAAACCCCAAATCAGTACACTTGTCAACTATCATGCGTCATCCAACTAGAAATTTGACAGTAAAATTTAACGGAAACTAACGGAGAGTAAATTTGTCACTTATGTACCGGTTTGAGATTTTTGGTGGTATTAACCATATTTGAAATGAATTACTAGTATAAAGGGGACAAGGTCGATCCTCATCACTTGTGATCTCACAAAGAGTAAACATGGCTGCCCACTGATCTGATCCCAGCTATTAAAAGATCTACGTGCGGATAAGGTCCTTTGGTTGCTCCTTGGGGGTAAGGTATATAGGCTCTTCAGTAGCCCCATGTCTTAGATCGCTCTGAATTTTAATAGAAGTTGACGTTTATGGATTGTGGGGTATTCCTCATTTCTGATGTATTCCTCAGCTCCCTAGCGACGAGAGAGGAACCAACCCACCCTGCTTTTGCTTTTGCCGGGGTCTTTGTCGCCGAGTCTATATATTTGACATAGATATTTATTAAAAGTATGTAGAAGTGATGTTTTACGCGCGTCAAGGAGATTAGTCAAATTGAATATTTGGATTCAGCAGTATTATCCAAAAGAGAACTTTCAGAAAGTTTTCCCAACCCATTTTCCAAAAAAAAATACCATGATGAGATAGAGCTTTTTCTTTACTTTGCTTACTCTATGGATTAGTCATGAAGATAGACCTCCTAGTCCTAGGTCGATAATTATCTACGTGGACTAATATTTAGTTTGACTTCCCATCACATGCTTATTCAAATGTCGTAAGTTACATATATAAGAAAACCACATAGATATAATTCCCATTACACTCGGCTCTAGATCTGTCTCTGCGACTAATGATCTTGCCATATCATGAATATTTACAACATAAGGTGCTTGGGTGATTGCATAGACCATATATGAAGGTGATCAGGAAACAGACAATGTTCCTGCAAATAGAGACACAGGTGGTGTGACGAGAATTGCTTCAAGCTCAGGGAGAGCCTTGTGTTCAGGAAATGGTGCGGCTTTCAACTTGGCAACCGGTGCAAGATTGTCGCGACCTACCTCTCGAGGGCCGCACTCGATGAAGCGGGTTTAGAGGTAAGTGTTCATGAAACGGTCCATATGGCACATCATAAAAGACAGCTTTACCGAAGCGTCGATCTTTTAGTCATCCATACGGTCCGCATGGCACATCATAAAAGACGGCTTACCAAAATGTCGATCTTTTAATCATCCATACGGTCCGTTTGGCACATCATAAAAGACGGCTTACCAAAGCATCAATCTTTTGGTCATCCATATGGTCTATTGATCATGAACTTGAATTTTCCCTAAATCCATACCTCATGTGACAGCGGATCAATTTTATCGTTTTTAGGAGTCGTCACTAGCCTAGGTCGGAGGTCGGCTAGAATACCCAACCAATACGCGGGAATTTCGTATTGGTTTCTGCGAAAACCAGAGATCATGAATTCGGGAACTAACTTACGTTAATATTTCTATTAACGCCCTTTCAGTACCGCTAAACTTATCATGGTTGTTATCTAAGTTGTCATGCATTTATTTTTTACCATTTTCATGTTAAAGTTTTAGTCCACTAAGTGATCATGCATCTTGTTTTTGTATTTTCATTTAAGATTCTAAACTAATCGTATCTTAGTCTAGAAAAAGAAAGAAACAATCAATTGTATTGAAAGACATTTCGTAAAGTAAACACTCAAAGTATTGAAAAGATGAGCTAATTCTAAGTGCGAGAAAGTAAAACCCACAACTCGTCGGGTGTTTATTACAACACAAATTGAAAACCCGAGACATAATCGGGGATGAATGAATTGAATACAAATTGAAACCGGATAAGACATCGGTCTATCGCCACCGTCAAGTGACTACAAATTGAGACCGGATTGAACATCGGTCTATCACCTTGGTCTTTTACAATTTTGGATTATCCCCTCCATGGACCGCCTCTCGAGTGTTAGCGTTTAGATTCACAACATACATTCACGACAAACAATGCAAGAAGGAACAACCAAAGAAAAGCAATGGCATAAACAATTCACTAATCAAACACTGGCCTCGGGGTCGGCCTTTGTTTTACATGTATTTCGATTCACCCACCCTCCTAATCATTTAACATTATTTGATTAATGATTAACGATAACGGGCTACCATTTGCATTCACAAAATGACAACTCATATCGATTAACCCCTAAAGTCGGGTTCTAAGTGACCATAATGGGCTACCCGCCGAACATACATCGGGCCTAACATACATAGCAATGAAATAAGCATGCATTTAGGCCCATGGGCATTATTTCTCAACCAATCAAACAATGGGAAATGGGCTTCATAAGGAGACCACTCATTCAGTTATTTTCTAATTCGGGTTACTTTTGTTCAGATGTGATTAATCCATCTAATGATGTACAAATGAAGTGATTTAAGTGTCATTAGAAATCTTATGTCATGAGGATCAAAAGTCAAGAAGACCATTTTTTCTGATTCCCGCCGATTTTCACGAAAATGAAAAATTTACATTCGGTGATAGTGTGGACCCGGT